AGATTATTCAATTCATCTTTTACTGCTTTAGCCCAGTTGAAATCATTTTTACTACAACATTTTAATAAGAATCTATAGGAAGTGGAAATGATACAATTTTCAGATTTTAAGATCTTAAACCAATATTTTATCAATCTAATTTTTCTCATACAAACTAGAGGTAATCGTCCCAATTCAAGATATACCATGTTGTTATTGGCCGATTTCTTCACTTTTAGTAATTTCTTACAAAAATGTAAATGTACATGTTCAATCTCTGGAGCTTTGTGCATACACCAAATTTCACTTGCATAAAAAAAGGTGTAGCATAGTTTTTACATTTAAGTTTAATGATGAACACTTTGAAAATAGTGCAAACATAGCTTTTCGTCCTTGGATAGCTAATTGTTTTTGGATAGAAGTGAATTTATTATTGTAATTTAGAATAACACCTAGGTAAGGAAATTGATCCACACATTCGACTTTACTTCCTTTGTAATACCATTTTTCATCATTATGTAATCTTCCATCTTTTCTAAATACTACAATTTTTGTTTTTTCCGTATTTACAGTTAAACTCCATTTTGTAGAGTATTCAAAAAGGCTATCAAGAAGAGTCTGCAGACCCTGTACAGATTCCGAAAAAATAACCAAATCATCTGCGTACATTAACAGAAACAAACTTAACTCACCGAAGTCATAATAAGTTGCACCTTTTTCAATAAAGGACATTTCAAAATCATTGATAAAAAGTGAAAACAACAATGGTGACAAAATTTCCCCTTGCAATAAACCGACATTGTTTTCAAAAAAGAGCATTTCCCATTAATTGAAACACAGGATTTGACTGATTTATAAAGCGACTTAATAACAGACAACATTTTCCCTCGAATACCAAGCCAAGTCAACCTGCGCCATAAGCTTAACCTGTCGACAAAATCAAACGCTTTGCGTAAATCTACAAAACAACAATACAATCTTTTTCTAGATGACAATGTTTTTGTTATAATAGTATGTAATGCAAATATAGCATCTATCGTACTCACTTCCGGACGAAATCCGAATTGAGCATCTGTTAAAATATCATATTTTGTACAAACATCTAAAATACGTTTATTAAGTATAGAAGTAAAACGTTTACTAAGACAGCTTATTAAACTGATGCCTCGAAAGTTATTAGGGTCATTACGTGTACCTTTTTTATGAACAGGAATAATAATAGCAGATTACCAATTTGCAGGAAAACACCCGGCTTCTAAAATATTGTTAAACAACATACACAAATTGGGAATGAGTAATTCTTCACAGTTAATAAAGCATTCATTTAACAAACCATCAAGTCCATGCGCTTTGCCACATTTCAAATTTCGAATAGCAGATTTTACTTCATTAAAAAGAATCGGTGCATCTAGTTCGTCATACATAATATCTTTATCAATGAAAATGTTGTCCTATTGAATTGAGTCATCATCGTTTTGTACATTTGACAAATTTTTAAAATGATCATATGGTTGCTCGCCTGTCAATAATGGCGAATTACCTTTTTTCTTAGAAAACTTTCTGTAAAAAATACCTAGGATTGTGTTTTTTCATATGTTCCAGCATGTCACCTTCAGTACTTAAGTATTGCCTTTAAGACTTAGCTTCCATTGTTTTATATTCCTTTTTCTTACTAATAAGAACAGCATGAGTAGTCTGTTCTGGTATAGTACAGGTATATTATTTACCTGTATTTACCTATTCACCAATAGGAAATACTGTGTTAGTTATAGGAATATTTAACAAATATATTTCCTGATTTTCGTAATATTTTCTGGAATTATGAATAAATATATACAAGATTCCAGTTATTACTTAATAAAAACACATCAAAATACATTAACTGAAAACCTGCTTTTATTAATTTCATATTAAATCATTTTTTTTACATTTTACTATAAATTTACATGTATGTTATATATATATTTCATAGAATATAACTAAGTTTAGCAAGCAATTTATGACAAATATAATCAGTAAAGACAGAGATCATGTATTACATAATTAAATATGCAAAAACAGATGCAAAGCTGGAAATGAAAATAAATAAAACAAAATTAATTACACGTACACATGGAATACTAAGCACTGGTTTATCAAATCAATCATGTTCAAAAAAATGCACACATGCACAAAGATACATGATATAAAACTAATATAATAGCAGTAACCTTTTTTTTTGTAATGGTTTTATTTATCCAAGTTTTTCATTACATATACATATACATAAACAGGACATTCACGCATTCTCACACATACACACACGGACATGGATCTAGCATTATCACAATCATTATCATTGTCATCATAATATCATCATCATCATCAACAACATCAGAATCATCAGCATCAGCATCAACCATATGTATATATATATTTATATGAAATACAAGTATATTTTGTGTAACTTGATTGGGTCTGAAAGATATGCATGAGTTGAAATTTCTAGTCTGTATCCATTTTTTTCTTTCTCATATATCCAAACATGCATGACACTGTCCATGCCCATGGCATGATGAGTGTGTATATTATGTTTATGAGAAGTTTACCAAACCAATCTTGCTAAAATTAATATACCTGAATTTATGCAAAGTCTACATCCTTGATCATATCAATCCATAGATCTCAAGCACTTGTATGATAAACCACAGCCCAAAAGAATGTACTCCCCCCTCCTAAGTGTAATGCAATATCATCTGTATACTAAATGGATGTTTTGACAATGCCAGACGACTATCGGCAACCCCAATGCCTATATATTAGTTTCAACGTATGCTACGGTACTTAACTTTAGAATACCATTGTACATGTGGTGTGCTCCTTTATCTGTCCAATTCTCCTTAGTATCTACTTAATTAGATACATTTCCTATTTAGGCTACCGAATCGTAATCAATGCTAATCCTGATTGTCGACCAATAGTAGTAGCAAACTCTTTCATAATCACTATATAAGAGCTGACATATCCCTTGTATAAGTGAACCTGACATTCTTCTGTTTTGACTAGCACATATGTCCTGCCACCCTTGCAACAATACTAGATCAAGTCTTGTACAACAACTACTTTTAGTGTCAATCTTACCTTATTAAACAATAATATTAGTAAGGTTACCTAACCTCTCTCAATATTTATCATGCATTTTATCAGTTTTCCCTCGTGGTTAAATCCATTGTTTTTTAAAGAAAATCCTCAATGTTTATAAACAATTCATGGTCTGCTGCCCAAACTGAAAAGTCATTTATTCACTGGCCCACGTACGTATTTTATGTGTCGCGCGCAACCACGCGTGATTACACGTTGTCCTTAATATTACCTATCTATTTGAACATATGTAAGAAAACAGCTAACATTGTGTTATAGACTATATGAGCCTGGTGCAATATTCTTGCACAAATCTAAGCTCATTACCAGGAAAATGTTCTCGGTAACTTATTCACATACTACTTTAGGCGTATAATGTTAAAGCCACAGAGATATTGTGCCAAATCCTTATCATAGAAATGTTTGTATTAAGTTTGGTTGTATTATAATATAAAAAGCTTCCGTATAACAGCGAGCTTTGTTTACACCATGTGTTGCGTCTGATGGAGGACCTCCACCACTATGGATATCATGTAAGGTGGCAGTACCCAAATCGGATCGGTACCCAAATCGGATCACTTTTTGCAAAAATACTTATAAATGAATAAATGTGTCAACAAATCAGTTTTAATAATGAGATAGTCTTAGAATAGATAGCCATGTACATTTTTTTTGTCTACAGATAATTAGTTTTTAAGTTCAAATAGCGCAAGAAAACGTAATTCAACCTCAAAAGTCAATGTTTTGATTACGTTTTTAAAAAATGACGCGAGCGACGACTATGCATTCTGTTTTGGACTATAGGAATAAATTCACACTTTAGAAATGCTTTATGTCTTATAAATTCTAAAGGTCATCATAAAATGGTAATATGCTGATAAAACAATATCCATTTGAAGCGTACGATACTCGCAAAAGTGAAGCCTTGATCCTGTACAACAAGACTATGAACAGCAAGCTAAAATGTTGCTAATACGTGTATGTGCAGTGGGCGTGAGGAACCTATACCTCACGTCAGTTACCCCCGGGAATCTCTGTAATCTCTGTACTGTATATTACATACGTGTGTACGTGGAAATGAGGAGTGCATGAAACATGTGCTTTTCGCTTGACAAACATGTAAAACGTTACTTCAAAGACTATACTATTGTATATTGAAATTAAAATCATGAAATGTACTTTCCCTGCTAACCTTTTTCTTGGTACTCTGCTCGCAGAATGACACAGAAAATTGCAACCAAATGAGTATCTCAAAAATGTTTACACAGAGGCTCTGTAGAACCTTTTCTGACGCCTCAGGAACAGATTCTACAGAGCCTATGTGTAAACATTTTCGAGATACTCCTTTGGTTGCAATTTTTTGGTTGCTTAATTTATTCATAAATATGACAAAACATTGAATTTTACATTACATGAAATTGAAAAGACAATGAATACAAGTGTCATGACACTTACGTAATTCGTCACTACACCATCACTACAGGAATGAATCAAAATAAACAAAAGAACAAATATCTGGGTGTGGGATGGGTTAAGGGAGGGGGGAGGGGGGAGTTGCAGTGGAAATATAGAAATAGATAAGACAGCAATATACATGTGATCACCAGGGCCCGTATTCATGAAACTGTTCTCATGCTCAAGCATGGATTCTGTGCTCAATCCGTCTTCTTGTAACTCCCTTAAATCATGCCAAACGATCAAAAAGTCACATGTAAACATTGAAAACAGTGTGTTTAAATCATTGACAAAATAATTTTTTTTTTTGTATACTCTTACATGTAAAAAGAAAACAAGAAATTGGCATTGAGTACAAAATCCATGCTTGAGCACGAAACCGGTTTCATAAAAACGGGCCCATATGTTGATATCGTGCTATGATCAGGTTTTGATTTCAGAGCAATGCTGTAATCGACACACGACGACTGTTAAGAATACATACATACACCATATGTTACAAAGGACCGATGTGACCAACCATTGGCGAATTAATGTTTGTCACAATGACTCGACAGGATTATTTAAAACGTTGTCACACAATCACGGGTAGTTTACTACACAAGTATGGTGATTGATTCCCCGACTGCTAAACGTGGTGTCTTGAATTTTGCCATGGTGATGTCACACACTGTTTTTTTTCTGCATCAGCACCTTTACAAAGTAAATACCATTGAGGCCTGTCACAGATCCTCATCCCGTGGTACGAACATTGTAGATATTTTGTGTCATAATACCTATTTATAAACCGCAAGGTGGGTAAGTGTACCATACCCCTGTGACATCAGCCGGATACAACTCACGCCACATGGACAGAGCCAATACAGAAGGGATGGGCGGAATAAATATTCGACATTGACCCGTTGGTTTATTCTCATAATAAGTCCAGTTGTTTAACTGTATGTAAACAGCATACGTGAGTCTTGCCTATCTCTAAAAATAGGTAAATGGGAATCCCAAGCGCTTGATATAGAATATACACACATGTTTCACTATATATGTATATCGTGGACACTTAGTTAGCTGTTTATGTATACAGGTATGTATTTAAACATTGTTGGAGCTACAAATACCTCCTTTATCACATTTGTTATTTCTGTGTTTATATATTGTATGATATGTTCGGTTCTAGTCTTTGATAGATACTGATACCAAGAAGAAGGGTTACATATGATTCCATATCATTGCTCAACTTTAAAAGTAAACTAAATGTTTTATTAAATGGAACTATAAAAACAAAATGTAATAATTTAATAATGGTAATTTTGTTGTTTCATCTTATACCTCAACTACAGCTAATGCGACCTAGTTCATGGCATTAATGATGCATCTCTTCATCACATTTAATATGGGAAGGGTGGGTTAGGGGCATAACTTTGTTTCTGACTTGGGATTGTCCCCATGTATTACCTAGATGTTTCACCTGAATCAATATATCTGATGTCATTTTCATGTATAGATTATATAACTATTGTTTTTATACAACCATAATTTTACCTGAATTATTTTGTAATATTAATGTCAAATCAAAAAACCTTTTCAATCATAAACAAGTTATCTGGTGTTTTTTTTCGCAATACGTAATTAGTTTGTGATTGTTAAAGATTTGAAATTATTCATTGAAAATAACAGCAGTATAGAGATGAGTTTTAGTGTGAGACAGGACTGCCAGGTGTAGTATAGTGATGAGTGCTATTGAGAAACAGGACTGATAGGTATAGTATAGTGACGAGTTCTAGTGTGATACAGGACTGACAATTATAGTATAGTGATGAAGTTTAGTGTGATACAGGACTGACAGTTATAGTATAGTGATGAAGTCTAGTGTGATACAGGACTGACAGTTATAGTAAAGTGATGGGTTTTAGTGTCATACTTGACTGACAGATATAGTATAGTGACGGGTTTTATTGTGAGACTTGACTTGCAAATATAGAGAAGTGATAGTTATGACCGGCAAATATAATTTAAAATGTTCTCTCTTTTTTTTTGTAAATTTAGTGCAAAATTATGGTGTGTATGCTGTTGCTATGTTATAATGTAATCTTTTTAATTCTTCCTAGTTTTCAATAAATACTATTTTGTAAGTAAAATCCAAAGGGACATCGATAGGGTAAAACCAACATCTTATCTATATTGAATGCCGAAAAAGTGACGAAATGAGATAATCAAATCATCTTAACGACAAGGTTTTGTTACAAATGTTTATATTCTGTTCAATAGAGTATATGCTGTTGTTTCCAGCCAGATTGACATTTGATCTTGTAATTAAGTATCAGTAAATGTTATTCACATGATTTAAGTATATTTATTTAGCTGATTATGATTTTCTGCTTTAGCCGTGGCGATGCTTATTTTTGTATTGTTCTGCATGATACCAGCCATCGGCTCATGGAAAGACAAGGTGAGTTGCATGTACCGAATTGAAGATAATAGATGACAATAACGTTTAGCCCATCCTCATGTCATGATCTTTTGATCTGCAGCAATAGGGTTATTCCTTCATTTAGGTTTCAAAGTGAATGAGGTCGGACGATGTAGGAAAAATAGTAATATTGTTTTCAGCAACTAAAAAAACCGCATTTGCAATATAATTTATTCCACAACCATTGCAACTCAAACACGTTTCTTTAACTTCTTTGTATAAATTGTAAACAATATTTATAAAACGATGATCTGCTCTGTGATATGTACTAAACAATGATTCTACATTTGATATAAATTATATGTTTTGTTTTAAAGAAGAACTGTAGCCACTACGTCCCTGGGAGTGATCCCTCGGTAAGTAAAGAATAAATATTAAGGTATTCTTTAGTATACTCACGAAATGATATATTGCTCTGAATGTATCATAGGATCACATTAATGAGGAAATCCCATCAGGAATACTATACATAAAAGTTGATTACTTTTATTCGTAAAAACAATTCATAACAGGCCAAATGACCACTGGATATCATTTTCTATTAGTTGATTTAACAAGCTTTGTCTATGCTACTAATACTTGACGTAGACAGTTTGGCCTGCAACACGAATTGTTCGAAAAACACGAACACTGCAATTGCTTTAAATTGATCCTAGAGGTCATTGATCTTCACCTCATGGAATTGGTCTCCGAATAGATAGGATTAACATTAAATAATTGTGTACCTGTTAAACTGTTTATTTATAACTCTCATTGTTTTGTAACGAAATTGTCACACAATGTCATGACATTTATTGGTATACATAGAGGGTTATATATTAAAGAAGTGTGAAATTTATGTACGGTGTAAGCAAATATCTCCATTATAAAAAATACCAGATTATATAAGAGATATCTGGTATTACCAATATTGTCGCCGCTAAGTTAGTGTGATAGATTATCCAATATACATCGTTAACAATTACGCAATCTTTATGATATACATATTTTTAAGAATGTGCCTTATGGTGATCTTAAGTGTTCCCATTTCAAAATATGTTTATACACTTCTCATGCATACTATCGGGACAGGGTAAGTACAATTTATCTAACAATTAATCTGTAATGCCACTACTTACTATTTTTACAGGGTAAGTACAATTTATCTATCAATTAATATGTAACGCCACTACTTACTATTGGGACAGAGTAAGTACAATTTATCTATCAAATAATCTGTAATGCCACTACTTTCTATTGGGACAGGTTAAGTACAATTTATCTATCAATTAATCTGTAATGCCACTGCTTACTATTGGGAGAGGGTAAGCCCTTTTTGTGAACCAACTACTCTGGTTTAGGAGTAGAAAAGTTTTAAAGGAATTTTTTGTTGTATTTCTGAACTATTCGAATATCTTCAGAATAGATACTCCCTGTGTTTAATTTCAATAAGAACATGTATAAATATTTTATTTTGTGAATATTGATGGTAAATTTGCTTTGTGTACATATGTTGGTATTTTTGGATGATTGTTTGTTGAGAAAATTAGTTATTTGAACTTTGGCTTGCAAGACTGGTTTATATACTTTCTATTTAGATACAAGTTCTTATATTCGAATTCGAGATGTATTTCATGACATATGATCATCCATGAAGAAACAAACAGTGCAAATTCTATTTTTAAATGGTAGTAAATAGTGTTAATGACTTTCGTCAACCTCGTCACTCAAATTGTGTAACAATACATTTGTTAATCCGAAAATGATATTTTGTAATTTGACCATGTCAAGATATCGGATAATATGTACCCATATTAAGGACTATATAAGGTGTTTGCCAGACATGCCGAATAGAGGGATCTCGTGTGTTGTCGAAGATAAACTGATAAGAGGAAATTTACCAGTGCATTACCTTACCACCTTAAAAAATCTTCCAAATACTGCCATGATATACTAACAGAAAGCTTGTTTTTTCTCATCTCTATCTCGTCATATTTTATAAATTGAAGAATATATAAAATTACAACCAGAGGCTGTACTCCATCATGCCCATTAGATTCCTTCTGAGCGAGATCCCTCTATTAGTCGTGGAACTTAATACCGATTTAACAAAAAGTACCATAAGTCATGTCAGTTGTACAAAACTTTGTTTAACCAATACTTCAGAATTCTATAATCCTTTTTTTCTGGTTTGGTAGGAAGTCTACCTAGTTCACCATAAAACAGTTATTTCCAGTAATTCTTGAAAACAATTCCATATGTAAACGATACAGAAATGTGTCAAAACACCTAGTTTCATTTTATTGTTGGCTTTTCAAACTGTTTTCCTCATGTTTTATTGCCACCTGTGTTCCTATGTTGTCATTTTGTTGGCGGGTACCTTGATCAAAACAATTGTCAGCAAATCGTTACAACTGATATACGTTTTCCTGTTTGCTTTGTAATCCTGTTGTACAACTTGTTTTCTGTGTTAGAATAAGTGTTATATTGGTTACATTACATACAATGTAAAACAAAAGTATCTTCTGTGACAACGTACATCAATTAAAAGTCTCCAATAATACGATAGATAGAACTTTCAAATCATTAGTTATACAGGGACGGAAACAAAAAGTCTGCCATGGTACTAGTAACGAAATCGAAGAAAATGTATAGTGACAAAATGTTCAGGAATAAAAAGTCTCTAAAGAGATAATGTACAGAAATGAAAAACCATAGAAAGATTATGATAATACAATATAAAACAAATAGAAAATCAAAAGGAACTGTGTAGGAAATGAGCCGTCAACGGTGACACAATGTGTAGGGAAAAACTCCTATGATACGATGTACAGGAATAGAAAGGTTATATAAACATACAATCAAACAACGTGGATATTCAGAAATCTACATTAAATTCCAATTTTTTCATGGATTAATCAAATGATACATAACGAGGGTAGGCTGTGCACACAATTTATATGTATACAAACATTATTACATTTACATTAGATTACATTACAAAAGACAAACTACAACTTAGCCATGTTTCTGTATTGCTATCCCCGAATACTGGCTTCTGATAAGAATACCCCCTGTCCCGTTTTAAGTGAAGGATTCAGAAAATATGCTAAATATACGTCTATTACCTTAAGCATTCATGAGGTGTGATACCATTTCAACAAAGATACTACATATGTTGTTGATTCAAACGTCATGTATACAATCTTTGCACGTTCTTAGGGGTGACCTTGTTAGGTTACATTGATATATATGTGATACATTTACTTTAGACTCAGCCTAAGACCTATTGCTCGCCGACAGCTTTTAAGTGGAATTGTTCCATTGCTATTCCGGAAACCACCTGGCACCTTCTACAAGGAGCCATCAGCTTGGGTCGATGCTGTCAACCAGTGTACGGATGGAACGGTAAAACTTTAACTTATCTACACATTATCTCAACCTGTAAAAACCAAATTCAAGATGTTATTGGTTTATAAAATGAATCTTACACAATACACGGGTTTCAGTCAGGTTTCTTTCTGAATAATAATCTTGGTTTGCCTCAGATAATTTATACACGTAACATCTCTGATATTGTTTCCTAAATTTTGTTATTGTAATCTACATTTTGATTTTGATAGGAACATTCACAATTTGTGAAAGTAATGGAAAGTCAGATCAACTGACTGCTTGTGGTGACGGATTTCACAACTTAAACAGTCCCTTCTCATCCGCGGAGTATGTCGAAGTCTCTGAACACGCTGACTGGGTGTGCCATAAACAAAACCCCTTATCCGGTACGTAACAAACGTGTTTTCGCCTATTGTCATGTAGACAGGCGGTACTTAACGAACACTACTACTGCCTAGTGCATAAAACCACTTACCCGGTACGTAACAAACGTATTGCCGCTTATTGTCATGTAGACAGGTGGTACTTAACGAACACTACTACTGTCTAGTGTATAAAACCACTTACCCGGTACGTAACAAACGTATTGTCGCTTATTGTCATGTAGCAGGCGGTACTTCACAAACGCTACTACTGTCTAGTGTATACAACCACCTTTAGATGTACGTAACAAACGTATTGTCGCTTATTGTCATGTAGGCAGGCGGTACTAAGCTAGCACTACTTCTTTCTAGTGTATAAAACCACATTTAGAGGTACGTAACAATGATATTGTCGCTTATTGTCATGTAGAAAGGCGGTACTTTACAAACACTACTACTGTCTAGTGTATAAAACCACCTTTAGAGGTACGTAACAAACGTATTATCGCTTATTGTCATGTAGAGAGACGGTACTTAACGAACACTACTACTGTGTAGTGTTTAAAACTACCTTTAGAAGTACGTAACAAACGTATTGTCGCTTATTGTCATGTACACAGGCGGAACTTAGCTAGCATAATTACAATCTAGTGTATAAAACCACCTTTAGAGGTACGTAACAAACGTATTGTCGCTTATTGTCAGGTACACAGGCGGAACTTAGCTAGCATAACTACAATCTAGTGTATAAAACCACCTTTAGAGGTAGTTAACAAACGCATTGTCGCTTATTGTCATGTAGACAGGCGGTACGTAGCTAGCACTACTACTTTCTAGTGTATACAACCACCTTTAGAGGTACGTAACAATCGTATTGTCGCTTATTGTCATGTAGAAAGGCGGTACTTAACAAAAACTACTACTGTCTTGTGTATAAAACCATTCACCCGGTACGTAACAAACGTATTGTCGCTTATTGTCATGTACACAGGCGGAACTCAGCTAGCATAATTACAATCTAGTGTATAAAACCACCTTTAGTGGTACGTAACAAACGTATTGTCGCTTATTGTCAGGTACACAGGCGGAACTTAGCTAGCATAACTACAATCTAGTGTATAAAACCACCTTTAGAGGTAGTTAACAAACGCATTGTCGCTTATTGTCATGTAGACAGGCGGTACGTAGCTAGCACTACTACTTTCTAGTGTATAAAACCACCTTTAGAGGTACGTAACAAACGTATTGTCGCTTATTGTCATGTACACAGGAGGAACTTAGCTAGCATAATTACAATCTAGTGTATAAAACCACCTTTAGAGGTAGTTAACAAACGTATTGTCGATTATTGTCATGTAGACAGGCGGTACTTAACCAACACTACTACTGTGTAGTGTTTAAAACTACCTTTAGAGGTACGTAACAAACGTATTGTCGCTTATTGTCAGGTACACAGGCGGAACTTAGCTAGCATAACTACAATCTAGTGTATAAAACCACCTTTAGAGGTACGTAACAAACGTATTGTCGCTTATTGTCAGGTACACAGGCGGAACTTAGCTAGCATAACTACAATCTAGTGTATAAAACCACCTTTAGAGGTACGTAACAAACGTATTGTCGCTTATTGTCAGGTACACAGGCGGAACTTAGCTAGCATAACTACAATCTAGTGTATAAAACCACCTTTAGAGGTAGTTAACAAACGCATTGTCGCTTATTGTCATGTAGACAGGCGGTACTTAACCAACACTACTACTGTGTAGTGTTTAAAACTACCTTTAGAGGTACGTAACAAACGTATTGTCGCTTATTGTCAGGTACACAGGCGGAACTTAGCTAGCATAACTACAATCTAGTGTATAAAACCACCTTTAGAGGTAGTTAACAAACGCATTGTCGCTTATTGTCATGTAGACAGGCGGTACGTAGCTAGCACTACTACTTTCTAGTGTATAAAACCACCTTTAGAGGTACGTAACAAACGTATTGTCGCTTATTGTCAGGTACACAGGCGGAACTTAGCTAGCATAACTACAATCTAGTGTATAAAACCACCTTTAGAGGTAGTTAACAAACGCATTGTCGCTTATTGTCATGTAGACAGGCGGTACTTAACCAACACTACTACTGTGTAGTGTTTAAAACTACCTTTAGAAGTACGTAACAAACGTATTGTCGCTTATTGTCATGTAGGAATGCGGTACTAAACAAACACTACTACTGTCTAGTGTATACAACCACCTTTAGAGGTACGTAACAAACGTATTGTCGCTTATTGTCAGGTACACAGGCGGAACTTAGCTAGCATAACTACAATCTAGTGTATAAAACCACCTTTAGAGGTAGTTAACAAACGCATTGTCGCTTATTGTCATGTAGACAGGCGGTACTTAACCAACACTACTACTGTGTAGTGTTTAAAACTACCTTTAGAAGTACGTAACAAACGTATTGTCGCTTATTGTCATGTACACAGGAGGAACTTAGCTAGCATAATTACAATCTAGTGTATAAAACCACCTTTAGTGGTACGTAACAAACGTATTGTCGCTTATTGTCATGTAGGAATGCGGTACTAAACAAATACTACTACTGTCTAGTGTATACAACCACCTTTAGAGGTACGTAACAATCGTATTGTCGCTTATTGTCATGTAGAAAGGCGGTACTTAACAAAAACTACTACTGTCTTGTGTATGAAACCATTTACCCGGTACGTAACAAACGTATTGTCGCTTATTGTCAGGTACACAGGCGGAACTTAGCTAGCATAACTACAATCTAGTGTATAAAACCACCTTTAGAGGTAGTTAACAAACGTATTGTCGCTTATTGTCATGTAGAAAGGCGGTACTTAACAAACACTACTACTGTCTATTGTATAAAACCACTAACCCGGTACGTAACAAACGTATTGTCGCTTATTGTCAGGTACACAGGCGGAACTTAGCTAGCATAACTACAATCTAGTGTATAAAACCACCTTTAGAGGTACGTAACAAACGTATTGTCGCTTATTGTCAGGTACACAGGCGGAACTTAGCTAGCATAACTACAATCTAGTGTATAAAACCACCTTTAGAGGTACGTAACAAACGTATTGTCGCTTATTGTCATGTAGACAGGCGGAACTTAACAAACACTACTACTGTCTAGTGTATAAAACCACTAACCCGGTACGTAACAAACGTATTGTCGCTTATTGTCATGTAGGAATGCGGTACTAAACAAACACTACTACTGTCTAGTGTATACAACCACCTTTAGAGGTAGTTAACAAACGCATTGTCGCTTATTGTCAGGTAAAAAGGCGGGACTTAGCTAGCATTACTACAATCTAGTGTATAAAACCACTTACCCGGTACGTAACAAACGTATTGTCGCTTATTGTCATGTAGACAGGCGGTACTTAACCAACACTACTACTGTGTAGTGTTTAAAACTACCTTTAGAGGTACGTAACAAACGTATTGTCGCTTATTGTCATGTACACAGGCGGAACTTACCTAGTACTACTACTGTCTAGTGTATACAACTACCTTTAGAGGTACGTAACAAACGTATTGTCGCTTATTGTCATGTACAAAGGCGGAACTTAGCTAGCATTACTACAATCTAGTGTATAAAACCACCTTTAGAGGTCCGTAACAAATGTTTTGTCGCTTATTGTCATGTAGACGGGCGGTACTTAACAAAAACTACTACTGTCTAGTGTATAAAACTACCTTTTGAGGTACGTAACAAACGTATTGCCGCTTATTGTCATGTAGAAAGGCGGTACTTAACAAACACTACTACTGTCTAGTGTATACAACCACCTTTAGAGGTACGTAACAAACGTATTGTCGCTTATTGTCATGTAGAAAGGCGGTACTTAACAAACACTACTACTGTCTAGTGTATACAACCACCTTTAGAGGTACGTAACAAACGTATTGTCGCTTATTGTCATGTAGAAAGGCGGTACTTAACAAACACTACTACTGTCTAGTGTATAAAACCACTTACCCGGTACGTAACAAATGTATTGTCGCTTATTGTCATGTAGGAATGCGGTACTAAACAAACACTACTACTGTCTAGTGTATACAACCACCTTTAGAGATACATAACAAACGTATTGTCGCTTATTGTCATGTAGACAGGCGGTACTTAGCTAGCACTACTACTTTATAGTGTATAAAATCACCTTTATAGGTACGTAACAAACGTATTGTCGCTTATTGTCATGTAGACAGGCGGTACTTAACGAACACTACTACTGTGTAGTGTTTAAAACCACCTTTAGAGGTACGTTACAAACGTATTGTCGCTTATTGTCATGTAGACAGGCGGTACTTAAATAGCACTACTACGGTCTAGGGTATAAAACCCCTAACCCGTAACGTCGCAAACGTATTGTCGCTTATTGTCATGTAGACAGGCGGTACTTAACTAGCACTACTACTTTATAGTGTATAAAATCACCTTTAGAGGTACGTAACAAACGTATTGTCGCTTATTGTCATGTAGACAGGCGGTATTTAGCTGACACTGCTACTGTCTAATGTATAAAACCACTTACCAGGTACATAACAAACGTATTGTCGCTTATTGTCATGTATACAGGCGGTACTTAGCTAACACTACCTCTTTCTAGTGTATAAAACCATCTTTAGAGGTACGTTACAAACGTATTGTCGCTTATTGTCATGTAGACAGGCGGTACCTAGCTTGCCCTACTACTTTATAGTGTATAAAAGCACCTTTAAAGGAACGTAACAAATGTATTGTCGCTTAATGTCATGTAGACAGGCAGTACTTAACAAACACTACTACTGTCTATTGTATAAAACCCCTAACCCGGTACGTTACAAACGTGTTTTCGCTTATTGTCATGAAGACTGGCGGTACTTAGCTAACACTCCCTCTTTCTAGTGTATAAAACCATCTTTAGAGGTATGTTACAAACGTATTGTCGCTTATTGTCATGTAGACAGGTGATACCTAGCTGCCCTACTACTTTATAGTGTATAAAAGCACCTTTAAAGGAACGTAACAAATATATTGTCGCTTATTGTCATGTAGACAGGCAGTACTTAACAAACACTACTACTGTCTAGTATATAAAACCCCTAACCTGGAACGTTACAAACGTGTTTTCGCTTATTGTCATGTAGACTGGCGGTACTTAGCTAACACTACCTCTTTCTAGTGTATAAAACCATCTTTAGAGGTACGTTACAAACGTATTGTCGCTTATTGTCATGTAGACAGGTGGTACTTAGAGAACACTACCTCTTTCGAGAGTATAAACCACCTTTAAAGGTATGTATCAAAATATTACTTCGTACTGTACATAGACGACAGCCTCAGACAGTAGGATCATTATGTCAATCGATGTTATACATTGTCGATTCGCTTGTAAATCTTCTGTGAGGTGCACTCTCAAAGTCTTTTATTGTAACAATTGAGTTGCCGCTTGTATCTACTGCTTCTTTCCAACTATATTACGAACTGTTAGAAAATGGATGAAAGTGACACGCCCGAATATAAAATCAAAATATTAATTGCTAGCTATATCGTTATCCTTCATGTATTCCTTATTTACTTGATCCATAATTTACAGCAAAACTTATTTAACCTTAGATGCCGGGACTTTTTTCAAACATCTATACAAAGCGATGGAACATGATATTTTAAAGTAGATCGGTAACTAATTCCTGGTCAAAATTGGTTGTGTACGTGCATACACCTGCCTGACTGAATACGGTACAACGGCCATGTTTCGAAAGTTATTCTCCCAATAATCTATTATGAATTGAAAACATCCCAAAGTACAGAGCGTACGTTTTGTTTACCTTTTGTGTAACAGTGAAATTTCATTTGATGAAATAAAATGTTTTACATGTACATTCATGATAGCTATTTAAATATCAGCTTCTTTCTTTACATTAAAATATGTAATTTGAAAGACTATGTACAAGTGGCTGTGATATATGTGTCCAGCTTTTGATACAGTGGTACCTATATCCGGTGTACACATCATACCCTTTGTATATACTATAGGTTTTATTATAACAGGTCAACTTCTTCTCTGGTAGAAACATGGCATATACGAAAAATCACAAGACGACTAATTTTCAAGTCATCTTGTTGTTTCACCCATACAATATACATATCATATGAACTCCTTATAATATAATCATAATACATAATTTTATAATAATTTTATTACAGATTCTGACATTCCACATGTGATGTGGAAGCAGCAGGAGTTCATTATTAGAAAGGGTCAGTCCATCACACTTTTGGCTGAAGTTCACTCGTCCACAGAGCTAGTCAGGGTTGCTATACTCGACGAAAATGTGCAATTCCCCCTGTTTAAACCGAAAAGTGAAATCTTTCCGCACTACCATCACAGATTCGCCGTGCACTTCACGTTCAGCAACGTCACGACATCAGACAGTGGCCGGTACTACTTTGTGGCCACAAACAAACTGGCTAGTGGATGGAGTGGTATAACTCTCCTGACGGTTCTTAAAGGTATGTAGGTCAGTTTTTTAATTGTGAGGATTCAAACAATAAAATCTAAGAAATTATCGAAGTGACGCAAAAATAGGTTTCATTTTTTTTTAACCTTTTATATTATATATATGCGTTCACTTGCTTAGAGAATTTATCACTAAACCAAATCGCTTGCTCATATTGATTCCGATGTATTACATTATGTACGTCTATAACTTATTGTTTTTATTGTTATTAAACATCATTGTACTAGTACAAAACAGGTATAAAAAATTACCAGAAAATATGATAGCAATGCAAAATGTAGTCAGAATGATCATATTCGTATATTTCTTCACGAAGCCCAAAGTTTCAGTGTTGTAACCTTTAACATTTCCTAATACACAATGCCAATATGAAAAATTTGATATCAATATCATGATATTTTTTTTTCAAATAGATATAAAAGTTCTTAAAAAATGTCATATAGTATATATGAAACAGATTTTAGCGGATTTGATAAAAATCGTGGAAATGGAATGCTTTTTAAGTTCTTTTTATTATATGTGACATGAAAGGATTCCAAGCTGAAAGAAAGAAAATGTTTAGGTTTGAGAAAGTCTGTGATAACAGTGCATTGTTCATTTTGACGTCAATATGAGGAATGTTTGTAATGATGCAATACCGACCAGCTTCCTTATGTTATATACCATAGGTAGTTCTGGTCAGCTGTAGCAGTTAGTCCAAAACATTAGTATCATATGGTCAATCAAGTTCATATAAGAAAAACAAATTTTATATTGATAGTGTAAGTAGGGGGCAACATCATAGTTGTAGATACATAATTAATTTCTTAATCAAATTTAAGGAACTGAAGGAACCACCTCAGGCTCCCCCCGTATCAGGTATGTACCGTAGATATGTGTATACAGTTATTTTTTTTTAGCTTTACATGAAGTATACGTGCATGTGTGATATAGTTAATTAACATCTATTCAATTTACACGTTCTCAACTTGAAATAACACCACAAACACCCGGCCAAAATAGAAAAATATATAGTTCCAGAAATACCTTCAGTGATAGTTGTCAATGCGTACGCATCAATAACTTAAATAAGGCAGTCGGCGTTATGTATACTTACATAAGGACAACAATAAATGACAAAGTAGTAATTCAGCCCCTTGCAGTTATCTTGTCAGGACCATTGTTTTAAAATTACCAAAACTACAAAAGTAATAACAGCTTCGTTTTAATAAACGCACCTTTCCTTGTTAATTGTATGCGTTATTTCATGTAAAATGTATTACGTTTTATTATAGGAGCTGCATGATCCTCATCATCTGCATGGCCTGTGTGATATTTCTTCATTGAAGGAGCTGCATGTCTTTCGTCGCCTGCATGGCCTGTGTGGTATTACTTCCTTCCTTCTAGTATATGTGATCGTCTTTAATTGACTGTGGTAAGGAACGTGAACCACTATTATGCCATGATTGCTTTCATTCTGTGCGAATATGAGCGAGTGTGTCTACAATGAAGGACTAATGACAATAGTATACAGTTGGCTAGCTAACGAAGTATATTTGGGATGAATGCCAATTAGCACGTATTTAATCGTAACGTCATTAAAATGTGTCGCCGGTAGTTGTCAGCAAGCCTCAGGTTATACACCCAAAAAACATCACCCCTCGGGTTAGAAATTTCTCTGTCACAACCTCTAAGTAGGGGAAGATTCTATTATTCTCCTTAAAAAGATAGTATTAATGGTTGGAATTCGATCATTTCAGACTCCTGGTTGTTTAATTATATAAAAATAAGTATGGCTTGGACACAGACGTCGGATACAATGATCATAGATAGTACAAAAACGTTTATCAATGATTGTGTTCCGCTAAAATGTTTTACGTGTGGTGTCGTTCTACTGAACATGGTCGCCATGTTCTAACCGTGTACAATGAGTTTAATTAAGAGTGGTGCACATCCTTGTGCGTTAATTCCAGTTACTGCCGGAAAACTTATCAAACAAGTTGTATATACGTCAGCACTATATGGTTGTGAACTATGGATTTTATCAATGAAAGAGTTACTTTTGTTGGAAAGGGCGCAAAAATTTATTTTAAAATCAATTTAAAGTTTTAGCAACAGAACACGTACTGATATGTGCTATGGATTGATTGGATGGACATCCATAGAAAGTTATATAGATATAATAAAATTGTTGTTTTTTGGAAGGTTGTGTTATTTAGATGAAAATACATTGTCATCGCGTATATTGTTTAGAAGACTATACGCATCAATGCTGAACAGATCTGGTGACCATTTTGGTCTTTTAAATGATATTTTGAGAATTATTAATAAATCTGTGTTGTTGAAAGAGGAACATGATTGGAAAGAACGAATGTCAAATGATTGTGATTTTAACAGATTTGTAATTGTTCATAATATATTGCAACCACATATACTATGGAAACTGGCAATGAAATTCCCGGAGTTTAAAGATTTGATATTATATTTTACGAAATTAATAGTAAATATTCGTACTGGTAAAGTCAAAGAGCTATGTCATAGATGTGGTATTATTTACCAGGATGTATTTTCTCATATTATATTTAAGTGTAGCTATACTGAACACCTAAGGGACAAGCTGTGGTGCTCTATCGCAAACATTAGTGATACTGGTATACTGCTGAGTGCGTACATACACTCTCTGACAGATCACGAATTAATTCATATTTTAATTGGGGGACTAATGACTTACGAATTAAATGTATTAGACATGAATGAATTTAGATTGAAATCAGTAGCAGCTGTCGAAAAGATGCCCAAATTATACTACCGGTAGTGTGTAGATATAATCTCACATCCTGATAAAGATTAATATAAATCAAATAAGAAAATTAAAAAGATATGAATGTCTAATATAATATGTATGTATTACCTCATCATATATACACTTATTAATGATATTTTTTTTGTAATGTAAATATGTGCGCATTATTCTGTTTAAATTTAATTTTCAAATTGGAGGAAACAAAGAGAAAAATAATAGAAATATCGTTTATCAATGATTGTGTTCCGCTAAAATGTTTTACGTGTGGTGTCGTTCTACTGAACATGGTCGCCATGTTCTAACCGTGTACTACGTACAGTTTTACGTTGGCCATTAAGGACAATTTGACTTATGATTTAAAGTTCTGACCTATTTACTACGTTTGGCAGTTTGTGTATTGCGAGGTAAAAAAGTTTTATCCCATGAATCACGAAAGATAGACCAAGCAATTTAAAAATGTATTCCAATGGATTCTATGAATACAGAGGTCATGTAAAGAAAAGAAACAAACACCAGACATTTGGCACTAGTCAATGGTAGTCATTTGTCACTAGTCATTCAACAGTAGTCATTTGGCACTAGTCAATCAATAGTAGTCAGTTTACACTAGTCAATCAATAGTAGTCAGTTTGCACTAATCAACGAACAGTTGTCATTTAGCACTACTCAATAGACAATAATCATTAGACTCAAATGGTCATAAGTCATTAGATACTGTATGCGAAAATGTACGCCTGCAATGCACAAACCTTCAACAGTATGCCATATGAGCGTATACCGCAAAAAGTAATAAATATGTCAAAACTGTAATTAATAAATCAATACGAAATAAATACATGAATAAAAAGGAAAAAAAGTAGTAAATCAAAAGTCAAGTTAATGTGTTTATGAAATGTTTTAATCAATGAACTGGAACAAAATTCTGTTCCGAATAATTTCAACCCGTTTTACGATAGGGATTATGTCTGGTTTTGTCTATATATTACAGCGCTGTGATAGGTATGACGATATTCGTGTTTCTGTGATACGTATTGATGAGGTGACGACAATGATTGGTTTTAGTTCCAAATCTTGCTGTAAATCGACCTTGGTCACCACGAGGTCCAACACATAGTAAAGCGATCGTTTGTAATGGTGTACAGTGTATTGAGGTTGATAGTCCCAATGGTCTGTGTTGTAATGGTGTACAGTGTATTGAGGTTGATAGTCCCAATGGTCTGTGTTGTAATGGTGTACAGTGTATTGAGGTTGATAGTCCCAATGGTCTGTGTTGTA